TTTGAGGTACGTAGTAGGTATGAAGTCAAGGGTTCCCTAGGACATCTGGTAGCACATAATTTATGATGATACCCAGCTTCATGGTGCCTGACTGCCTGCCTGCCACAATCAGGTCCCTCCTTCGTTCTCAGCATAACACCTTGCCGGCAACAGCTTTGAGAAAATCGGCTCATGTCCCCTGATGGTGTACCTGCTTGTGACAGGAAGCAGCTGGCATACAAGGCTGATGACCTGACTGATATGGAAAGAGTGCTGACAAGGTTCGTTACCCCCCAATACGCCATACAATGACAACATATTCAACAGGATATTTCCCTCGGTGAAAATAAAACGATATAGCCAACCCTTTCATTAGGGTCGGCGCCCCTAAGTTTGATGGTCAAGACGACGGCATTTGGTGGTTTCTTGCCCAGTAGGGGATAGCGGGGTTGTCCTGTAGCCCAGGAGGATCATCGGTCACATATTGTGTCATAGACTGTACCTGATCGGCGTCTTTTATCATTGTGCATCCAAGTATTCGAGCTGATTACCCTTACTTTTCTTTTCAAACATTAACCACCATAACTCCACCGATCCTGAGCTCTTTAAACCCTCCAATACAATACGACCTTAAAGTCAACCATGGGCATTCCCAGTATCAAGGAGCCAGCCGTGCCGTACGGCAGCGTTGTTGTCATTTCTGGAGCCAGTGGCTTTATTGGATCTCATATCGTAGACCAGGTACTTGCCGCAGGCTACAAGGTCCGAGGCACTACCCGAAATATGCAAAGGAGTGCGTGGATGAACGAGTTCTTCGCAAAGCAGTACGGGCCGGAGAAATTCGAGCTCATTCAGGTACCAGACATGGATGTCGATGGTGCTTTCGACGATGCCGTTGCAGGTATGAACCCACGCCTGTGCGCTCCCATGACACTGATAACATTCTCGGGCATCAACAGGAGCGTCTGGTTTCATTCATGTGGCAAACGACATGACAGGAGTGTCAGACCCCAAAGTCGCCATACCTCGGGCTGTTGGTGGAGCCCTTAACGCGCTCAAGGCATCAGCCAAAGAGCCGTGCATGAAGAGATTCGTCTTCACCTCGTCTTCCTTCGCAGTGACGTTGCCCAAGCCAGGAAAACGCTTTTCTGTCACGGCAGACACGTTTAACGACGAAGCTGTCGAGCGCGCCTGGCAACCAGATCCGGACGGCGCATCTGTGTATGCCTGCAGTAAAGTGGAAGCAGAGCGAGCCATCGCCAAGTGGGCCGAGGAGAACAATCCTTCATTGATCGTCAATACAAGTATACCCTTCTTGCCCGATGGAGTGGAAAGACACGTGCGACTGACCTCGGTGACTTTCAGTCCAGCCTAATGCGAACATTGGCCCAGTGCTCAGCACTGCCCACCAGGGCTACCCAACCACAGCCGGGTGGGTTAAGAAAGTCTGGGACAAGGACTACAAGGGACTGGAGCATATCCTGCCTCAGCACTATGTTCATGTCCAGGATGATGCACGCCTTCATGTCATTGCACTGGCTCGCCCTGAGGTTCAGAATGAACGGATTTTTGCCGTTGCGGGGCCCTTTAACATGAACAGTATCATTGACATATTGCGCAAATTACACAAAGATAGAAACTGGGAAGCATTTCCAGATGACTCTCGGGATCTTTGCACCTTCATACCAACCCAGAGGGCAGACAGCCTGTTGAGAGAGACGTTCGGCCAAGGATTCAGGAGCATGGAAGAGTCTGTCAAAGATAATGCAGCAGGTCTATCCGAGATGCGTTCATGAAGCATAGATGCTGGCTACATAGGGTTGAATCCTAGGGTATGATTATCATTTAGCCACTTTTTGCTGGTTTGGCTCGTTGCTTTGTACTGGACTAGGAACGGGACCAGAATGCGAAGTCAGTCAGGACGATGTGAAAAGGGTCGTCTCGGGTTGAGCAATGCCCCATCGCATGATGGACGCAGATGTATGTCTCAAAGCATAGTGCTCATGAACTGTCGAATTCTGACACGACTGATTGTGTGCCATGGCATTGAGGACCCCCATAGTAGAAGTAGTAACACAGCAGTTTGGTCGAAAAATGGTGAGGTTAGAATGGCCCCACACCACAAATGCGCCCATATCAGGCAAGAACATCGGAACGCTCAACGGAACAGCTTTGACTAACAACCTTCCGACGAACAGGTGAACCTACCCCACAACTCGCGGACATGGGCGCATTGCCAGAAGATAACATAGCTGATCTCATCAAAACCTACAATGAGCTCAACAGCAACCGTATCGAGGAGCTTGCTGATGAGCCCAGCGCTCTGGAGTTCATGAGATATGTTGCCCGCAACACTCCTTCGTCGTCCGAAT